ATAAACATTATCATAAATTTAGGGGTTTTTCGTGGGGCACCCTGTAGTATCCGGAAACCATCTAATGTGGGCATCGTGAGATCAACAGCCCCACGCCTATTTCGCGTCTAAATGAATGTTCAGATGCCAAAAAGCAGTAAAGTTAGACTGCTCATAATCTCCTTCGATGAGATGTTTACCAGGCCGTGAACGGTCCCTTCGCCAAAGATAAAATATACCCCCACTGTGCAACCAAATTCTTTTTATTAATACTAAATACACTTCGGATTAAATAGGTCGTTTTTAATATATACGGACTTCAATCCTGATAGTTGGTCAGTTAACAGCAGAAAAAAATGCTAAGCATATCCCGCAAATTGAAATGACTTTTTTTTCGAGCAGTCGGCAGACATGCACAACCAGAGAAGGTCTGTTTTACGGTCGAGTTGGACCACACATTTTGTCCTGTATTCTGGATCTCCTACAGTAAGCCAAGTGGGAGATGCACACGATCCACACGGGGGCCTGATTATGACACAGCACGCGTTAATAGGACTCCACACACACACATAGCAAATGCCACACAAGGGGGTAGAGTGTAGCAGCACGCCTAGGCACAGTTTCACGCGACACAACCCACAAATCCACATATCAGCTGATCGTCTGGCTCGTAAAATAAATCAGCCGAGGATGGGAACTGCTCCCACGGCAGAAGATATTACTAATTATAAGCAACCGCATGCGTTAAAAGTCTTCGCCAGGAAGGCTGACAGGACAAATCGTATGAATGAGAACGTTCGCGTTCCAGATATTTGCCTGGATAGGGAAAAAGGCTAGTCGAGCATCGGAGCAATTTGTTTGTTATCGTGAGCTTTCGAACCCTTACAGCAGTCCATCGTCAGAGATAGGAAACACCAACAAAAGGGGGTTAATTATAGCGTACATACACCAATAAACTGGCAAGGGTCTTCAGGTCGTGAGGGATAAGAAACCACGATGAAGAAAGCCAGGTAGGGGTGGGGGCAAGTATAGAGGCATACGTTGATTAACCGTCAGTAATATCAACATTCTTCAGGGCGTAAGCAAGGAAAATTGGGCAAGTATAGAGGATGTGGGCCCAACTAACTGTGGTGGACGTCTGGCCGTGGCTGAACATGATTGCGCAAGACTCTGTACACCGGCGCCAATTCGATACATCAACCTGAGGACCCTTGACAGTTGATTGCTGTTCACACACTATAGTTAGCCCCCCTTTTGGTACTGTTTCTTATAGCTGACGATGGACTCCTGTAAGAGTTCGAAAGCTCAGGATAATAAACAAATTG